TTGTTGCTTTTAAGATTCTCTTTTAGTCTTTTACTTTTTTTAAAAAAAGATTTTATTTATTTATTTGAGAGAGAGATAGAGCATTAGCAGGGGTGAGGGGCAGAGGGAATGGGAGAAGCAGACTCCTGGCTGAGCAGGGAGCCTGATGCAGGGCTCGATCCCAGGATCCTGAGATCATGACCTGAGCCTAAGGCAGGTGCTTAATTGAATGAGCTGCCCAGGTGCCCCTAGTCTTTAACTTTTGACACTTTAATTACAATGTATCTCATGGTGGGTCTCTTAAAATGTTTTAAAGATTTCTGGTCTTCCTGGGTCTAGATGTCTATTTCTTTCTCCATGTTTAAAGAAGTTTTCAGCCATTATTTCTTTGAAAAGCTTTCTGACCCTTTCTTTCTTTGTTCTCCTTTGGGGACCTCTATAATGTGTATATTCATCCTCTGGATGGTGTTTCAAAAGATCCTTATTCTATCTTCACTATTTTTAATTCTTTTTAAAAATTTTTCACTTCTCAGATTAGATGAGTTTCACTGCTTTGTCTTCAGGTTCACTGATTTTTTTTCTTCTGTCTCATCTAGTCTGCTATTGAACCTGAATTCCTCTATTGAATTTTCAGTTCAATTTTTGTATTCAGCTCTGTGTTTTGTTTTGTGCTTTTTCATATTTTCTATACATTTTTTAAAATTTTCACTTTGTTCATGCATTGTTCTCCTGGCCTCTCTGAGTATCTTTATGGTTTGAATTCTCTATTAAGTAAATCACTTCTCTCCATTTTATTAAAGTCTGTTCCTGGAGTTTTATTTTGTTACTTTGTTTGAAATATAATCCCCTACATTTTTATTTTTTCTTGATTCTCTCTATTGGTTTCTGCTTGTTAGGTAAAGTAGCCATTTCTCTTGGTCTTGACAGAGTGCTCTTGGGTGGAAGCAATTTCACCAATCAGTCTGACCTGAGCTTTTCGTTTTCTCTTAAACTCATGTGAGTGCCCAAGTTGCCTTCATTGTTCTAGGTACCTCCCAGTATTTGGGAGTGTGCCCAGACCCATCAGTGTCCTAAAAGGGAGGGTCACAGTTAGCACCTCAATGCCAGTGGATTGAAAGGTGGACCCTCAGACAGCAGCAAGAAAGTATGTAGTTTGGTCCCTTCCTGGGAGAAACTAGGGGGTAGGCATTTTTGCTGCTTTCTCTGTGCTTGGCCCATTTGTAGAGCCATGGAAGGGAGATAGGGTGCCTCTGCATCCGTTATGAACTGCCTTTTTTTTGTTTGCTGTAGTCCTGTGGTACTTATGAGTACATGTTGGCTATCAGAGCCAAGTGATCCAGGGGCCTGTGCCCTGGGAAGCAACTAGAAAACTTGGGGTACAAGATGTGTGAACAAGCTTATTAGAAACTTGATCCTTGGTCAGTAGCTTTCAAAGTATGCTCTCTTTGAAATAGACCTCTTTCAGGGAAAAACTGGGAGGTGGGTGTTTCTGTTTATTCTTTCTGTTCTGAGGTCTGGGAGGATAGCCAGTTAAGAACTGATTCTTTGTTTGATATAGTCCTATTGGACTCCTGAATGCAATCCCCCTTGGCTATCAAGGCCAGGCAATCCAGGATTTCAACCCTCAGGTGGCATCTGCTGAAGCTGGGATACAATATATGCAAACTCCTTTCATGGACAAATTGGTAATTTGGAGTGAGCTAGAGGGAGGAGGCAGAGATGTCCACTGGCTTCCCTGTACTCCAGGTAGGATGGCAGTCACCTCCTAGATGTGTGCTACATTAGAAGCCCTATTTTCAGTGAGTAGCTTCTCATGTATGCTAATAAAGCCTTTTCAGGAAAAGACTGGAAAGACTGAGGCATGGCATTTTGTTGCTGCTCCTACACTGAGCTCTGGGGAGATAGCTGTGGTGAGTCCTTTAGAGTCCATTAATAACTGTTCCTATGTATTCTATAGGATCCTATAGTCATGTGAACTTTGTGGATGTAAGCCCCATTGGTTTTCAGAGCTAGATGTTTTGGGGTCCCATCCCTTACGTGCAAGTCTTAAAATTTAGGGTGTTGGATATGAGGACTAAACCCTTCACTCCTCAGGGAGAAACTGGGAGTTGGAAAGTCCCTCCTGATTAAATAGTTGCTGTGCTGGGGGCGGGGTTTATAGTGAGTGTGTCTCAGTCTTTCCTACCCATTTTGTTGTGGGTGCTTTTTGTTCATCTGATACACAGGAGTTACTCAGTTTCTGGATTTCTTTCAGAAAGAATTGTTAAATGTATAAACACATCCAGTGTGTCTGTAGGAGGAGGGCACTTCAGGCTTCCTACATTGCCCCTTGTACTAGATCCACAAATTGAATGTTTATTAATTAATTATTAATGATACTCAACTTACACGGGTTTTTGAGGAATAAAATAATTAGTTAATGCATGCAATTTACTTAGTATAGTGCCAAACATGTAGATATGCTTACTAATTATTTGACATTATTTGTAGCATATGAATGTTACCATAAATGACAAACTATATGTATTATATTGTTTTATTCAACACATTTTGTTTCAATATTTTTACCTTTGTGCATAGAGTGATTTAATTTTCTTAAAATTGCTGAACACTGTTAGTTAGTTTTTCATTTATTTATGGGCATTTAGGAATCTTTAACTTTTCAGAAAACTGCAACAAACCCCCTTATAATATGCTGCCTTGAACATGCATTTAGCTCTCTTATAGCATAGAAATCTGGTATTGTAGTAACTGGATCAGAAAGCATAATTTACATTAAAGAATTATAAAAAGTTGGTCTTTAAAGTAGTTGTGCCTATTAGCTATTATGGCCATGTGTTTTTCTATTGTCTTACTAACATGTCATGTTAGCAAATTTTGAAATATTTGCCAATAAGATTTTACGAACTCATTGCTTTCATTTGTATTTCCTTGATTACTACTGAAAAACACTTTTCTTTATTTCACTTACAAGCTCTTTGTAATACCTATTTTGTTAACTGCCTGTTTTCTTTTTGTTCATTTGGCATCTCCTTTAGAAAGTCTGGTTTCTTCCTGGGAGTAATGGAAAATTCCTTGAGAAGACTGAGAATATTACTTTCTCTGTTAGACCCACAACTTTTGGGTATAGAAGAGTGACAGTGAATTATTTTAGAGCAATATTTCAGATGAGAATTATAATGACCTCTTGATTATAAATTTTAAACAAGTGTTATTCAAAGTGGAGTCAGCAGCATCAGCTTCACTGAGGAGCTTTCAAATACATGCATTCTTAGGTCTTCTCCAGAGCCCCATATCAGGAGCACTAGGGGTGGAGCCCAGCTACCTGTGTTTTAGTTTAACAAGCTCCAGGTGATTGAAAAGCACTAAACTAGACCATTCAAAGATTCTTATAATCATCATAAGATTATGATTATGCTTGTCTTATATTACTTAGTAATGTTAACATTTAAAAATTTTATTGGTATACACAACAACTTGGATGAGTCTCAAAGGAATTATATGCTGTGAAAAAAGTCATTCTCACACATACTATACATTTACATTTATATTACATTATTGAAATTACAAAATTATAGAGATAGAGAACAGATTAATTGTTGCCAGGAGTTAGAGAGGGTAGAGGGTGGTAAAGGGCTGAAAGGTGGAGGTTTCACGCATCCAATATCCTCTTTCATCTGGGACATAAGGACTGACCGAAAATTTACCAAGACTGTTAGTAGAATTTATCATATGTAGAATTCTTAAACTTCAGTTATTAATTTCAAAAGTTGTTTGGTAATGTTCACAAGCTAAACTAATTTAATTTCTGTATATCCAACATGGGATTTGTTTTTGTTGTTGTTGTTGTTGTTTTGTTTTGTTTTGTTTTTTTGTATTCATCTATTCATGTCCCTTAGTGCTCTGGAGGGTAGGAGAGGATTGCTGTCTTAGAGATGGATATTTGGTGAATATAGCATAGAAGCTGGAAGAAACATGAGTTAGTAGCTTTGCTCTGGGATGAATTTCCTCAGTTGGATTCTGTTCTCCAGAAAACTTTTAGAAACAAATTTATGTGGTGTGTAATTTAAGGGAAACTGCACTGCAGTAGCTACTCAAGCAATAAGAATATTCCTATATCCTTGAAATTTGAAATCAACTGTTATTTGTAAGTCTATGTGTTTTTCCCAGTATTTTGGGAATCTCTTCATTCTTCAGCAACAGAATTGACCAGGAGAATTATTTGTTTTGACTTACTTTCAGAATCATAGGGAGAGAAGCAGTCTTTTATATTTCCTGTATACTGAGTCATACCATACCAAGTTCTGGTGCCAAAAAGCCACACTACACTCACTCCCTTAACCAGTCTCTCCAAACAGGTCATATTGAAGGACTCCTGGAATTATAATTTATGATGCTTCAGCAGTGATACAAAAAATGCTGGAATGAGTTCAGATGCAAGGCACAAATGATGACAATGAGAGCAAACAATTTCAGATTGTTTTACTTGCAGCTAATTACTAGGCTGCTGGGAGAGAACATATATCGGAGAACTAAACAGTCTGCGTTCCTAAGCCAGCCTTCCTTTTATGTATGTATGCATGCATGTATGTATGTATGTGTGTGTGTGTATTCAATTCAGTCATTAATTCAAATTAAAAGGACAACACTTGACTCCTTGGAGCAAAGGCTAATATGTTTTCATCTTCCTCCTAAAGTGTTCAATTATAAAAACTGGGAAAGAACTCCTTTTTGTTATAGATTTCCAAGAAGAGGTAAGACTCAATTTTGTGAGATGATTAAAAGCATTAAATATTTGTGGTCAAGGATAGACTGAACCGATGATGCTTCACTACTGATGTTAGGCTATGCTGTGCTTGTGCTGTCATACACGAATGCAGTACAGTTTTCATTCTCTTGTGTCCAAAATAATACAGTATTTCTATATATCACTGTGATGCATTATTACTTACCATTATTTGTCACCATTTGGATTCTTCCTCGCTTTTAACTAATGTAAAATTTTTAAAATTCATTAGCAGGTGCTCATTTTAGCAGTACACATACTAAAATTGGAATGATATAGAGAAGATTAGCGTGGTCCCTGTGCAAGGATGACATGCAAATTCATGAAGAGTTCCATATTCTTAAAAAAATCCTTTAACAGAAGTAAAGTAACATGTTGAAAGGGAAAAAGATAAAGCTCAAGTCTTACTTGCCAGAAAGTCTTAGACTTTCTAGATGATAGAAAATTCTTAAATATTTTGAAAAACTCCTACATCACTAGTCTTTAAGTTGAAAAAGAAAAAAATATATGTATCCATACTTCTATGAAATAAAGAGAAAATAGGTCCAGTTTCTGGCAGCATGAATCAGTCTTTCCAGTTAGGGCAGCTCTCCCATTCTACTTCAGGCAGAATTTTCACAGGCTTTTCTCCTATCTAAGTCTGTCTAAGAATCTTACTTCTATTTCTGTTATTTTATCTAATTTGGAAAATAAGCAGGGTCGAAAACAAATGAAAAGAGCTACCAAAGAAAGAATAAGGCTTTTTTGTCTTTTTCCTGAATTGGAACATTCCTCCTGACTAAAATAATATAAATTAAAATTCAATGAGTCATCCTTTTCCATCGTTTGCAGGAGTACCACACCTGTTGTCTACCTTTGCAAAAAAGATCAGTTGTTGAGAATAATGATTCATGCTGCCTACCCCTCTTCAAGGACTTTCTAGCTATCTATGCTCATCAGTAGCATCCATAAAACTAATTCTATCTGGTACTTTCTTCAGCCTAGATTCTAGACCTGTGCTGCCTCTGATCAAGGATCTTTTTACCTGACTTAAACTCCTGTGAGTAACTCAGGCATGTGATGCTAACCCCCAGTACCCTAGAAGGAGCCGTGAAATTCAATATGTGTAAAGCAAGCCACATTTGATTTCTAGCATTTTCTAGCAATAGAAAAGGGAACCATCACAAAACATCATTCATTCTCCATCAAAGGAAAGTGAATTTCTTCTATGTTTGTTCCAACAGTAGTTCAATATTGTGATAAATTTACATTTTGAATTCATTTCTTTGTCAGTCGTTAAAGACTATGGAGAAATAACAATAGTTATCATGTACTACATGGCCACTACTGTGTTAAATACTTTAATTAATGGTCATATTTGACCTCACCCAAACAGATGAGTACTACAATCTCCATTTTTTTTTCAGAGGTAGACCTGAGGTTTAGAGATGTAGTAATTTATCATCATATAGTTAATAGAACTGGAGGACTAACTTGATTCAAAGACTTTTATTCTCCAAAGACTGTGTTCTTTTGCATTTTGCTATACCACCTCAAGAAAAAAATTCTACTAATTCTGACTCTGTTTAACAGAATTTTAGATAATTTAATCATAGCAAGCATGCATCTTTGTACTCTGAGGATAAATCTGTTAATTCAACAAATATTTACTAAGTGAGAGTTATGTACCAATTGCTGCCTTTTTTCTAAGTTCTTCAAATATTTGTCAATTTTATTAATGTGGAACCTTTTTTGGAAGATAGTACTCATTTTCCAAGTGGAAATCAAAGACAATGATTTCATCTATTGCCAACTGTTAGAACATGGAGCCTATTAGAAATCTTTAATACGTTGTTTCTTCCTTCAGGCTTGAGTTTGAATATGAAGCATTAAGTATTATTTTTATGACAATATAGGTATTTACAGAAGTTCAAATATAATCTGTTCACTTTATAATAGGACACAATTGGGCAAGTCCTTAGCTTAAAAATCATAACATTGAACTAAGTAAGAATTTCTAGAACTCTAACAATAAAGTTGATTGATTTGTATAACTGGTAACTCAATACCAAGAAAAACAAAAATTAATTACGTGTGACTGAATGAACTGGTGAAGATGATTATAATTTTTATAATTTTGATATACTTAAATATTATCTCCTGAGAATCTCTGCTCTGGGGAATTTTTTAATCCTTGGCTATTATTATTCTCTCAATTATTGTATTAATAAATCTCCCTAGTGCATTGTATTCTCAGGGTTTTAAATGCCTTTCTGCAGCCACTCACATTTCAAATGGTATTCACCAGGATTAGATAACCTGCAGAACTCAATGATCTAACCACATGTTTGTATGATGATAGTAAATGTTAATAATAGCCACTACATGAATATCCATCCCAATGACTATGTTAACTATGGTACTAAAGAATAACACTACACTCGTGGGTTACAACAGCTTGTTGAGACAATGGCCAAAAGTGGGGAATTATTAAAATAACAAGCACTGGATACTATAGGGAAAAAAAAAGAAAGAAAAACTGTACACAATTTCTTGTCTAAAAACTTCCATATTAAATACCTTCTCTGAATGTTTGACTAGACCTTCAACCACAACAAATACAAAACTAAACTCAACATGCTCTTCATACCATACTCCACCACTAATCATACATTCCTTCTACATCCATCCAAATCTATTCTTCCAGTAATATCACCTATTTTTCTTATTGGTAAAAACCACCCACTCTTCTTGTACCAATCAGAAACTGCAAAGTCATTCTCTGCTCTCTCACCTTCTCCACCCTACTTCTGTAATCAGTCATCAAGGACCTTCAGTTCTGTCTCTGATTATTTTTTCTTTCCATCCCCTTATCATCTCCTATTTGGACTTAACTGAGATAGGCTTCTGTCCAACTTTTCCATCAGTCCTTTTCTCCCTTCTTTGTGCACTGTAGTCTGAATGCTATCCTTAAAATACAAATCCTATTATATCACCTTTGGGTAAAAATCCTGTTATTCCTCATTGCCAAACAAGGAGTAAAGTAGTTTTAATTACAGAGAAATACCTTTATATATATATATATATATATATATATATATATATATATATATATATATCATCATATATATCCAGCTATCTAATCTTTTTTATTTTCATCATACACGTTTTTTTCCCATGTACCTGGCTCACAGTATGTTGTATTTTTCCTGAAATATTTATTTAGAGCCATATTTTCTGAACTTGATTTTATGAGACCTACAAAACAATTATATTTATTTCCATAAGACAGAGACAAGATCCAGATATGATTTATGAAGGTGAATATAGTAACAATTTTACAAATGAAGTGAAGAAGAGGGGAAATGGTTACAGTAGGTGGTTGGTGCAATCCTAGCTAAGGATCCAGAGCCTGGGCAGTAGAGTAAGAATAGAGATGCAACAAGGTAGTGTGTGTGAGAAATAAGATTACACATGAATATACCTGAGTTGTTATGATTCTCCTTATTAGGATGGTTTCTTGGTATAACACTCACTGTGACAACTGAAGGGACAGAAGAAACAAAGAGTCTTTTAGATTTTTCTTAAAAGTTATTTTGAGGATGTAGTTAATTTGAGGAAGTGAAAAGCAAATATGCAGAAGACTACGGTATAAGTAAATGAGAACCACTTGCATTTAACAGAGGAGTTGTATATAATATCACTAAAATATTGGAGCATCTTCTGGTCACTAGATAATTAAACAATCTCCTGATTTACTTTAATAGTATTCATTTGTTAACAAACATTTTATAAGACTTTTAGGAATGAGTAAAATCTGAAGTGAAGAGTTGTGGGGCTTTTTTCTTTCTACTTTGGAGTCATGCTTTATGCTGAGCACTGTATGGAGAGCCCTGTGGAAATAAATAAGCACAAGATAATCCCAACCCACAAAGGAAATTACAAACTTGTTGAGAATTTAAAAGAAGCAAAATAAAAATCTAGAATTTAGCCAATTAGGTAAAAAGTTAGGCCCCAAACACTTTCCTCTTAAAAGTATATAACCAAAGCATGAAAAAAGGGATATTGGATTTGTTTTGCTTAATTTATTGGTTACTTACTAGAACCAGTAGTCCCCTAACACTAAATAAAAAGAATGTATTCATGGAAAATAAGCAACACCTAAAAACATGCCTGCCAAGAAACCAGACAACCCATGCATAGCCAATAAAAGTGAAGACTCTTACTTCATACTCTAAATGCCCCTAGATTGAAACTGTGTCAGTGAGAGAACATTTCACAGATGTAGGATCTCTTTTTTAGAGATTTTTCTTCCAGTGTCAAAATTCTGTAACAAATAAATCATTGGTGGGCAGCCCGGGTGGCTCAGCGGTTTAGCGCCACCTTCAGTCCAGGGCCTGATCCTGGAGACCTGGGATCCAGTCCCATGTTGGGTTCCCTGCATGGGGCCTGCTTCTCCCTCTGCCTGTGTCTCTGCCTCTCTCTCTCTCTGTGTCTCTCATGAATAAATAAAATCTTTGGAAATAAAAAAATAAAATGAATTAAAAAACAAACAAATCATTGGAGAATTACGCCCAAACTTCTAATAATAATAAAAACAATAAACAGAAATGTTGTTATTTTAAATTTCCAAAGAAGAGGATGCTCTGTTAAGCAAATGACTGTTTTGTAGCCCTTAGCATTATTTAAAGATCAGTTTCAGAGGCACCTGGGTGGCTCAGTCTGTTAAGTGTCTGACTCTTGGTTTCAGCTCATGTCATAATTTTGGGGTCCTGAGATCAAGTCATGTGTTGGGCTCTGTACTCAGCATGGAGTCTGCTTGTCTATTTCCCTCTGCTCCTCCCCTGGCTCTTTCTCTATGGAATAAATAAATAAAATCTTAAAATAAAATGAAAATAAAAATCACCTTCAGAGCTATGGTCAGGGTCCATGTAGTCTAATTAGAAAGATTAAAGTCTAAGAAATCTTAAAAAAAATTTAAAAATAAAAAATAAAATTTAAGAAATTTTATATATAGAACCCAAGAAAGGACAGATACTTTCAAAGTTTGGCTTCAAAATCTTTAATTTAAATTATATATAATTTAAAAATAAGTATAGCTTAAAGTTCAGTCCTGGTATAAAATTATGCATATAGAATGTTTTCCAGCTCTGCAGTAAAGCAAAATTTGTGCAAAAATTTAATTTTTATATTTTTCTTTGTTTCTTCAGACATAGCATAATCAGAATCATTTCTCATTGGAGAACTTGAGGATAAATTACTAATGTCATTTAATGCAATTTTGATTATAGTTTGATTATAGTTTATATACTTTTATATAACTTTGTCCTTCAAATGATCATTAAATGTTTCTCACTTCTCTC